TCTCACCCGCTGCTCCCCTCAGCAGTGCATTTCAATCTGCCTGTTCTGTTCCCCACTCTGTCTCTGGTGGATCCTCTCACCCTTCCCCCACATCTCTGGTCTGTACCCCAGCTCTTGTATGCATAAATAAATCTTTTTTTTTTAAAAACTGTTCCCCTTGGACAAATCCTATATATGCAGATATAGTAATTCCATTTCCTATTTTCTCAACACTTTATTTTAAAAAAAGATTTATTTATGTATGTATTCAAGAACTGGGGTATAGGCAGAGGTGTGGGGGCTGAGAGGATTCACCAGAGATACAGTGGGGAGCAGAACAGGTGCATCTACCGAAATACCCTGCTGAGGGGAGCAGCGGGCAAGACAGGAGAGGTCTGCTGTGCCATATGTGTCACCTCCCTGGTTGGGGATCGAACTCATGATGCAGTGACTACCCATAGCTTGATAGCGCTGTGTCTTTAACCCCTGCGCCAGGGCCCCATATTTTCTCAACACTTTAAATGTAAATATTATTTCTATGTTTGTTTCTTTTATTTATTTCTAGGTTTGCCTTTTATTCGCATCCAAGATACGGACTGACTCTGTGCTTATTGATGATCATGGGGTTGGGAACGTGGGGAAATTTCCTTGGGCAGGAGGATAGCAACACAGAGTCTTGTACTGTTTGTTGTTAGCACTAAAGTCACCAGTCTCCACAGCTGGTGCCACCTGTTGGTGGAGGCAAGAGTTGACATTCTGGAGTTTTTATTTCTATTTAGACACTGAAATTTAAATGGAAAAGCTTCTCTAGTCACATATTATCCCGTGGCTTTAAAACCAACTCACTATTTAGAATAGACACCATTCCTTGTCAATGCAAATAGATCTGTAGATGCTCCTCTACTTAGGTTGGGTTACATCCCTATTGACCACGGTAAAATGAAAATATTAATATATCTACTCTACCTGACATACCAAACATGATAGCTTAGCCCAGCTTACTTGAAACACGCTCAGAACACTTACATTAGCCTCCAGTTGGGCAGTTGCCTTGAGCTTCATCTCAAGAGTAATCGGCCTTCTTTTCTCACCAGGAGTGGGCAACCCAGATGGGCATTATGTAGACAGGATGGAATGCGAGAACACAATAGCCAGAGACTCTGGCACAGTCCACCCTGGAAGACCTGTGTTTACCCTTGAGATCGCCTGGCTGACTGGGACCGTGGCTCGCTGCTGCTGCCCCGTCTCAGAGCGTGTCCTGCTGTGTATTGTCAGCCTGGGAAAAGATCAAAATTCAGAATTTTGAAGTTCAGTTTCTATGGAATGGGCATTGCTTTTGCATCGCTGTGAAGTTGAAAAATCACAAGGCAGCACATCGTAAGTCAGGGACCATCTGTACCTCGTTCTTCTGATAGCTGCCTGGATTTCCAAGGCACAGGTGCATCTCATTTATTCAGTCACTCCCTTAGCGCGATGCCCACCCAGCCTTCAGAGCCCCTTCCATGAAATGATCCCGAGATGTTTTTGGGGTGGCAGATTTTGCTCTTCTACATTGGACATTGTTATTTCTTTAGTAGTGAAACCAAATGCTTTTTATATCTCCCTGAATCATTGGGAGGTGGGCAAGCCTGTCTAGCAGACCATCTGTCTGAAAAATATCTTGCAGTTAATGAACTGGCTTTTGTCTCCCCAAGCATGATAGGCTTTTCCCAACATGTCCAGAGAAGGCTTTTCCCCAATACCTGTCACCTTGGTCTGTGGAACTAAGTCAATAGGGGCTGTGGATCTTGGGAGAAATGGTCACTCTGACCTTAAAGATGAAGACTACGTAGATTTAGGGTCATCTCCAGAAATAACCTTTTAAATTGGAGACGCCTATCTTTAAGGTAGGGCAAACATCTAGAGGCAATTGTTATCTCAAATGAAGTCATCGCCTCCTCAGACCAAGGGGCAGCCCAGGACCCCCAAACTTGCACTCCCTAAATAGGTTCTGCCATCCACCACATAAAGACAAAACTGTTAACAGTGTGACATGTGGGTGAGGGGTTCAGTGGGGAGGGGGAGAGAAAGAGTGATTTCTGCTTTTTGTTTTAGATATTTCTGTGCTGTCTGAATTTTTTTTTTTTAGAGGCATGTTTTATTTATTTATTTGTTTGTTTGTTTTGTTTATACAAGCACTAGGTACAGTCAGAAGTGCGGGAGGGTGAGAGAATTCACCAGAGCCAGAGCGGGGAGCAGAGCAGGCAGAAGGACCGAAGTACACTGCTGAGGGGAGCAGCAGGCGGCAGGAGAGGTCTGCGCGCCATGTGGGACCCTCCTCTGGTGGCCGGGGAGCAGCCGGGGATCGAACTGGTGCCGCAGAGGCCGCGGGCAGCTTCGTAAACAAGCGCTCAACCGCTGCGCCACTGGGGAGGCCCCTCTGTCTGAATTTTTATAGTCACTGGGAAGGAAAAGTTAAGCAGTAGATCCATAACTTACTCTTCTCATTCCTAAGAAAACTTGGGGTAAGAAGGATCCCACACAGGTCCCCTTGCAAACACTCCAGTAACCAGAGTTTCTGGTAAGCAAATGAATGATATTTGGTTGTAGAATGATAATGGGGAATTGCATTTAGCAGCATATACTTGGTCTGCCTCCATTGTTTATTGTAAATAAACTTGGAATTTATGAATTTATGGGGCTTGCTGGAAAAAAATCACATAAATGATATAATCAATTGGGTTAAAATGATGGTACTCCATAACCAGTATGGCTCACTCCTGTAAATAATTGCTCAGACCTCACGTGTTAAATCCAAATCAGAATGTGGCTTATGTGGGCGAGGAAGGATATTTGGGGAGCTGCGTTGACAGCCATGCAGTGATTGCTAGCCAAATAATGCAATAACCATAAAGCCCTAAACAGGTTTGTGGAACTTTGTTTGCTTGACAAGTGATAGAGAATGGGCAGGGTTAGGTGAGGCAGCTGCTTTTAAAACAAACAAGGGGGTAGGGTTTCTTGGACCTGACATGTACTTTTTAGTTATAAATTTGAACCTCTCAGCTAGGCTGTGCAGATTTAAACTATTTTGACTGAGTCTGCAGTTTGACCTTTAAATAGCAGCAACTCCTGCGAAAGATTCCACCTAGAAAATAACAATAACTGGAAGAACATGTACTCAGTGAAATGTTAAGTGTTTCAGTTTTGCATGCTACAACAGCCTCAGACTTCTCCAAGGGAGGAATGTTCTGCCTGTGTCTTCTGATTGCCTGTACTCTTTGAATTAATCAAGCCTGGTCCTGGTTAAGATTATGATTCAGGTGACTCTGATTTACCGATTCGGAAATGTAAACTGGATAGCATCAGCACATATATGCCCCCCAAGGCCTAGGCACTTGGAAGATATAATCTGGAGAGAGGGCAGATAGAAAATACGACAGCTTAGACTGTTGCAGTAGCCTCCTAGCTGGTCTCCTGGCTTCCAAACTCTTGACCTCTCCATAACTCATCTTCCATCCAGCACGAAGTGACTGTTTGCAACTTTGAAGTGGCTCAGTCACACTTAGGCTAAAATACAAAATCCTTACTGTGGCCCACAAGACTCTATGCAAATGGACTCCTGGTGACTTCTTGGACTCAACTCTTGGTACTCATGACTCAGTGAAGTGAAGTGGCTTCCACTGTCAGAGCTCAGGGCCCTAGCCCCTCAACCCGGTGCAGCTTAGGTTAGCTTTAAATGAACACTCCCTTCAGCCTGAGCTCCTGAAGTTCATAGTTGCTTTTTTGGCTTTTATTTAACACTGATGCCAACAAATACTTTTTTGACATTCTCCAATTTGCCCACTGCTATGAGGTCACTAAGTGGCCAATGACGGGTCCCCTGACCCCTCTGTCTGTTCCTGGGTATTTCAAAATCTAATTAACTTCAGAACTTGGGGCCTCCCTGGTGGCGCAAGTGGTTAAGATGCAGCCCAATGAAGCAATCCGCAGCCATTGCAGCACGAGTTCGATCCCCAGCCCGGAAGGTGACCCACATGGCACAGCAGACCTCTCCTGTCTCACCCACTGCTCCCCTCAGCAGTGTATTTCAGTCAGTCTGCCTGTTCCCCCGCTCTGTCTCTGGTGAATCTTCTCACCCCCTGCACCTCTGGCCTACACTCCAGTTCTTGTATGCGTAAAATAAATAAATCGTTAAAAAAATTCAGAATTTAATCCTAAAAGCAGAAGGTAGGAGAACCATTCTTGGACTGAATTCACTTGTGCTTTACTTTTAACCAAATTAGTTTTGAGACAGGAAGGTTCTCAGGACAAGGACAGGACAGGACTCAAGGACAAAATTTCGCTGTTCCCAATGTTATCTTTCCAAAGCTTATCAAGTTGGCTTCTATGGGAAGAAAAAGGAGTTACATACCCAGCAGAAAAGAGTCACAGACCTTGAGGCCAGACTGGTCCAGCGGGAGCTGTGAGGACACTGCCTCTGTGAGCTGTGTCTCTAGCCTGCACGAGCACCGAGGAGCAGCTGATGGGTGCTTACAATTAGCAGCAACACATGGACTTGCAAATCCACCCTCCTTGCTTTCTCAGCCACTAACGTTAAATTCCTTCATTCTCAAACCACGTCCCTAAAACCTATATAGACACCCAGCCCCAATACCTCGGGAGTCTCTCTCATGCCCACAGAAGCCTCCCTGGAGCAAACTTTGCTGACTCCTTGTCTGCATTTATTGCAGGTGTCTGTGGAGTCCTCTTTTTAGTCTTGACTAGAGGCTTTCAAGAGCCCTTTCCAGTGTGTGGTGGCAGGGACCCTGTCTCCACCTCTCTGATTTCCAGCCAGTAGTGCAGTGGGCACTGACTGATTCACGCCCAGCTTCACTGACTGTATTGTTGGAGGGTGGGATCAGACTGAGGGGCCCAAGGCCCGCTCTCTTGTCCAGTGACAGTTTCATAATTGACAGTGCGATTAGGGAGGCCTATTCAAAATGGGTGAACAGTCTCAGAATAAGATATTGCCCATTTGTTTTTATTCTTCTCCTCATTTATTTTTTACTATGGAATTCTTCATCAATTTGCCTGTCATCCTTATGCAGGGGCCATCCCAATCTGCTCAGTTTTGTTTCAGTTTTAAAATATATGCTGCCTGGGCCTCCCCCATCTTCGGCGCCGGTTCGATCCCGGCTGCTCCCCGGCCACCGGCGGAGGATCCCACATGGTGCGCAGACCTCTCCTGCCACCCGCTGCTCCCCTCAGCAGTGTACTTCGGTCCTTCTGCCTGCTCTGCTCCCCGCTCTGGCTCTGGTGAATTCTCTCACCCTCCCGTGCTTCTGACTGTACCCAGTGCATGTATAAACAAAACAAACAAACAAACAAAATAAATAAATAAAACATGCCTCTATAAAAAAAAAAAAAAAAAAAAAAAAAAAAAAAAAAAAAAAAAAAATAAAATATATGCTGCCTGAGTGAGCATGCCTGTTACTTCTGATGATCCTGTGGGGTCTGGGGCCTTGGGCTACATGGTGGCTCCCACCCTTTGGATTTTCACTTCACCTGTTGTGTGTAGGGTGAGTTGACCCCTTTGCCAGGGGATTAAAAATATAAGTAATTGGGATTACCTCAAGTAAAAAAGGCTTCTACATGGGGAAAGAAAATACAAGATAGGGGGCCTTCCTGGTGGTGCAGGTGGTTGAGCGCTGCACTGTGAAGCTGTCTGCAGCCTCTGCAGTGTGGATTTGATCCCGGCTGGCCGGCGAGGGTCCCACATGGCGGGCAGACCTCTCCAGTCGTGCCCACTGCTCCCCTCAGCAGTGTATTTCTTCAGTCTGCCTGTTCTGTTTCCTGCTCTGTCTCCAGTGAATCCTCTCACCCTCTCACGCATCTGGCCTGTATACCGGTTCTTGTATAAAAATAAATAAATCTTAAAAAAAAGAGAAAATACAAGATAGTTAGGCATCTTACTGAACAGGAAAAATGTCCACATAGTATATAACTAATAAGGGATTAATATCCAAGATATATATGGTAGGAAGGAAAGAAGGTAGAAAACCTATACATTTCAATAATAAAACAAATACTCCAGTTAATAAATGGGCAGCAGATATGAACAGACAATTCAACAAAGAGGATATCCAGAGGCTAAAAAAATCCATGAAAAAATGTTCATCACTTCTAATAAGAGAGATGCAGATGAAAACCACAATGAGATACCATCTCACACCAGTAAGAAAGGCACATCTCAAAAAGACCCCAACAACAAGTGTTAGAGGGGATCTGGAGGAAAAGGAGTCCTTTTATGCTGTTGCTAGTGAACTGGTACAATCATTATGGAAAACAATTTGGATTTACCTTAAACAGCTAAAAATGGAAATACCATAGGACCTGGCAATCCCACTCTTGGGCATCTGGCCACAGAATATGAAACCATCAACACAAAACCCCATACGTTCCACAGTGTTCATAGTGGCAATATTTACAATAGGTGGGACATGGAAACAGCCTAAGTGTCCATCAGTGGGATGATTGGATCTGGAAGATTCAGTATATACACACCATGGAGTATTATATAACCATAAAAAGGATGTGATGCAGCCATTTTCAACAAAATGGAGGGAATTTGAGAGAATTACGTGCAGCAAAGTCAGAACGAACAAAACAAATACTGGACATTTATATAACAGACAATTCCATAAGGAAACATTTCAAAAACTAGTAGGCATTAATAAACATTCTGAGGGCTCTGAGGTTAAAAGGGAGGCTGAGGGGCTAGGGCGCACAAGGGATGATGGTGAGGGAAAAATAATACGTATCTCTTGTTAGGAAATATAAACGTGTTCCTTACCAGAGCTAGGGAATGTGAAGATGACTTCTCCATGCAGTACACCTCTATTGCCGCCCCCCTCTTATTTAGGGGGCTAGTACACACTCTAGCAAATAAAAATACATGTCTCGTTAAAAAAAATTGGAGACTGTGAAGGTATTACATAGGCATCATGGGATGTAGTCAGAAAAGTCTGAGAGCTGGCAGATTGGGGTTTAGAGCTTGGTTTGGCTGTGTACTGGGTAGACTCTGGAAAATCACTTAACCTCCTTGGTCTTCTTCTCCCTACTTGGCAGTGCTCCACCATTTGGCAGCTCCGCCAAAGGGCAATAGTCCAGACCTGTTGAGTGGGACCTGTAAATATATGTGCACATGTATAAATAGATATGTAGGTATAGATGTGCCTGTCTAAAAATGATTTGCCAGTGGAGCATCTGGTACTTAAAGTGCTATTTTCACTTCCCTAGAACACAAACGATTGGGGGATGTCATGTGGCGAGCACCAGATGGATAATGAGACAACTTTATTAAGCAGCTTTAGTGGCCTGTGAAATCAGTACAAAAACTGGTGGGAAGCAACTAAAGATATCACAGGATGTTAGACCCAGGAAAGTCAGCTCACTTGGCCAAAGTCAGCAGGAGCAGCCCACAGTCCCCCAGGTAGGGTTAGGGTTGCAGGCACGTTGGTTATCGCCACTTGGCAGGTGAAAATAAGGAGAGCAAATTTAGACTGTTTGCCCACTGGGCTCCATTCCAGCTGACAGCCGGCGTGAGTTACTACTGCTAGGAGATCTGAGCTCTTTGGCCAGAAAGCTGCATGCTTTTGTAATTCACTATATTGACATATTTACTTCAATTTCTGACTCAGAATTAAAGAGGGGAAGGCTCTGCTGGAAGCTGGATTGCCTTAAAGCCGGACTCCACCCAAGGTCTCGCTGATGGATTTGATGCTGGAAACCCAGGTAGTCAGGGACATTGGTTATCACCACTTGGCAGATGAAAATACTGAGTTCTGAGATTAGGTGACTAAGATAAATGAACTGAGATTTAAACCCACATAACTTGTCCCTGAAGCTGCTTAGGAGACCTGAGACTTTGTTATTAGAGAAAAACTAATAAGTTAAATGCAACTAGTTGCCTTTGCATCCTCAGACAATAATCTGGAATCTACCATTTTAAATGGTTCTGTCCTTCCTGAGAACTATGCCTACACCTTAGTTCTTCTTCTCCCTACACCTCTGAAGGGAGGTTTATGTGGTTTATCTCAGTGTATTGATTTGAGAATTTTCTAGTTGAGTTATACAGCCTCCATTCCCTCTCTTCCTGTTCTATCAATAATTTGGATGTTATATGCATTGAGCTCCATAAACCTTTTCCTTTGCCACCAACTTTCCAGTTATCTTTTGGCCTCCAGTAAAGCGTGCACATATGCAGTGCCAGCAAGCACAGGGTAGATTTTCTATCAATTTGGGCAGATAAAAGACAGTTCTGGAGCCCTTAGTGGCTTTTCAGGCTTTTAAGTTTTAGGCTATTTCCATGCCAGTTGTTGTGGGGCAAGCCCGCAGGCTGGCAAGGCAGGGAGGCTGGGGGGGCGGGGGTGCCGGGGAGACTGCCCCTCCGCGTGTGTAGGGTAAAGAAAATGTCAGGCTTTTCTGCCCTTCCGCCATCAGGATAGATGATGGATCCTTGTCCTGAATGCATGCCTGATGGCGGGCACCTGGAATAGGGTGTGGGCAAAGGTAGATGGGATTCAGCTGAGCTAAGACTGTGCTTTTAAGGGCGGCGTCACGGGGATGCCAGGAGCAGCAGTAGAAGCCGAAGCAGAAGCCGAAAGAGAAGCCGAGAAGCAGCAGAACGAACACTAGAGAGCCCAGATAGAGTGAAGACTTGCTGGGGGGCTGGGAGGCTGGGAGCCAGCACCCCTGCCTGCCATATGCCTGGTGAACCCCAATAAAAAACCTGCAAAACTACTGAGGACTCTGACTCCTCCTTTACCCGGTCTGCATGGGATCAGAAAACCTGCACTGTGCCCAGTCCGGCCTTTACAGCATGCCCGCCCCGTGAATCTTCACTCTCTTTGCTGTAGCTGTCCGTGTCTCTGAGTGATGCTGCCCTTATATTTCCTCAGCCTCCAGGCTCAGGAAATGCACACTTAGGCATGTGTACCCACCCATGCTCCAGGTGTCCATAATCAGACACGCGTGCCTGGGCCCACGCTCCCAGGCGTCTTCTTCATTCAGGCCGCAGGTGATAGCCACAGAGACTTGTGGTGTAAAAGCCTGACCAGTTCATTTACCCTACAACATATTATCGTTATGTAAGCAGAGTCAAGTTATATGGCATCTCCTTACTTACTAAGTCAATATCACCCAAGGAGACTGTCCCCAGAGTTGATTTCAAATAGATTTTTTTTTATGTAGAGGACGAAAAATTATATATAGGATTTCTCAACTATGTTAAGACTAGCAGGAAACACCAAATAATGTTAACAAGTGGAGTGTGAATTGGGAATACTTTCAGCTCCCAGAACCTGAAAACCTGACTTGTGATGCCTTCGACACAGAAGCATTTCCTTTTCTCTCATAAGTAGCCCCGAGGTCTGAGGGCCTGGTGACCGCAGCTTGGTGATGCCAGGGCTGGCCTCTTGGGATTGAGTCTTTTCTTTCTGGTCCCAAGATGGCTGCCCCAGGCAGGACGGAGAAAGGAGAGTAGCGTGGTGCCTGCAGGTCTGTCCTTTTTGTCAGGAATATCAAGAAACTACCATGTTGCTCCAGCAGATTTCTGTTTAGGTCTCTTTGGCCAAAACGGTGGCCTGTGGCTGCCCCCAGCTACCAGGGAGCCTGGGAAAGTGAATATTCTGCTTCCCCATCTCTAGAGTAGAGGTGACAATGGCAGGGGGTGGGGATGTCTGTTAGGTTAGTTAATAAGCAATGTTTTCCACTCTGCTTGTTTCTAGTTGGTGGGCTTATATTTTTCTTGAAGCATTCACCGATTTTTCTACAAGTGTTTACATTTCTGTGATTGAAAAAATACAACAGATACTCTAAAAATCCCTTGTGGTCAGTCAAAAAATGTACAGAAGGAACTGTTGAATTCTGCGAGAGTTGCTCTGACCGAAGTATCTTTCCCCAGAGATGGTAACAAGACCCTCCCCAACCTCAGGGTGGGGGATGTGAAAGTCTCTCATTTGCTTAACACCCCCTCATTCCCGTTGCTCGGAGGCACTGTGGTAGCTGCCTGGCAAGGAGCCCTGGTCCAGTTCTCACAACAGCCCTCCTTCAGCACAAGAGATGCAGAAAGGTTAAATACCTAATTAAGCCACACTAAGAGCAAA